CAGACTAATCATATTACATTTTATTTGGTTGTTATTCTTTAAATTAATATGTCCCACTTTTTAAGGTCATGGATGTTGGAATGAGACAAAGATTTACATCAAAAGTAATTTTAGATAATACATAAAACAATGAATTTCATCACGGCGTTCTCATCACACGCACACACAGCTGTACTTTGCCCATACTTCCCTCCCCCGTTACTCTCCCCTCCACGTTTCTTCTGCTTTCGTGTCATAAATATCCCAATCTAGATTCTGCACAAGGGCAGGTGTGTGATATTATTCTTCTTCCTCGACTGTACCTTCTCTTGCTTGCCCTTCTGGCTCACTGTGTGCCCACCTTCTCTCTCTGCCTTGGTCCCTCTCTGTAGATTCATGTGTATTACACACTTGTGCTCGTGGGTGCACACAGACACAGACAGACAGACACACAGACATAGACAGACACACAGATACAGACAGACACACACAGAGACACACAGATACAGACAGACAGACCACACACACACACACACACACACACACACACACACACACACACACACACACACTTTCCCCCATGGGAAGGAAAACATGTAGTTTTGGCTCAACCACATACTGCCTATCCATCAGCAAATTATTTAACCTACAATATCGACAGAATCAATACCTACAGAAAAGATTATTTTCTTAGACTTCAGGCCTACCCTTCCCAGATTGGTATTTATGGATTTACATATCTTAGCTCTGAAGGAGCACAGTGTTTTACAGAAGACACTTTAGCTTTGATATATAACATGACATGTCAATATGGTAAGAAATAAACACTTTTAAAATATGTGAGTGTCCTATAAAATATTTTTTAAATTTAAATGTCAGATCACTTCAAAAATTCATTGTATGTCTGTGGATGTTTTGTGTTGAATGGAAAGTAGATATATTCAGCATAGATATTCAATAATGTAGACATTACATAATTAATATATTTGCCTACCAAGTTATTACTGCAAAAATCAGAATCTGTAATCTATATGAATTTTTATAAAATATAGTTTAAAAGAACATTAAGTGATTTTCTTAAGCAAAAAAACATCTTTTCTAAAAACAAGAAGTTTGTCATTAGCTTGCACAGAGGATGCTGTAAGACCACCAATCATTAGAATCAGCATTGGCTCTGGGGTTCTCGGGAGAGGATGTTACACTTTGGAAAAGACAGGCAGGGTCCCATGCTTGACCAGGCCAGCCTTCGCTTGAAAGATTCCCTTCCGTCCTACAGGTCTGGAGCAGCCTCTGCGGTCAGTTCTGTTCCGCAGCATTTACAGAAGTTTCGCGTCGTAGAGGAGCCCCACGAGGCTCATGGGCAGCCATCACTCAGGCTCAGTACGCGCTCCATCATGTTCTCAGCTGCCTGTCCTTTGCGGCTGTGGCGCTCACAGCGCCCTTGGCGCCGCACACTACAGCAAACGGTCCTGTGGTAACACGGGTATCAGAACGGTGGCCGTTCAGGAAAATTGTTCAGACTTTGAGAAACAGGAACGTATCGAAAGAATGGAACACAATCAATGGGCAGAGAAGTCCCTTAATCATGATTTTCATTATACTAAGAATTGATATTTGGAGGAGAATCTCTAGGATCATTAAACAATTCAGAATCATGTGAAGATTTTTAATTTTCTTTAATTTTTTTTTAAAAAAAGAATTCTACATTGCTTAAGGAAGAGAAGACTCTGAAACAAAGAGTGTCTGGGTCGGGTCTGTGTCCCCCTGGGAAAGTAAAGGGCTTTCTTTGGGAATCTGATTTGATTCGTGTTACACATATGCGTAAGCAAGCATGCTCGTGCTTGTGCGTGCTTGTGCATGCGAGTACACGCGCGCGCACACACACACACACTCCATAAATGAAAGCTAACCAAACAAGAAAACCAACCCAAACCAAACAAGAAAACAAGCCCAGAGCCGTCTAAAATGGAGCAGAACCTATAGCTTATGAGGAACATCAGCACGGACAAGTAAGATCAGGATTCCACGGGGTCAGTTTTAATGTATGGAAGAAGTTTCCAAGCATGCCTTGCCTACAGTGGACCAAAGGTGAGGACTCTGCGTCTCCAACTGTGGAAGTGCCTGTAGTGCCTGTCTGTGACAGACGTTCCCTAAGGATGCTTTCATGGGTGAAAGGCTGGACAAGGACACCAATATCGGTTTCATCAGCCCAGTGTGGATCTACACACACACACACACACACACACACACACACACACACACACACACGTATTTATATTTTCTGTATGTATATATATATATATATGTTTGTTCATATTTCCTTAAAATGTTCCCGTGTTATACCCCTATTATCTGATAAGTTTCTAGGTGACAAGAAGCTTGCCAATTTAATTGTATTTCGGAATCTCTAAACAAGCACTAAGTATATTATAAGCACAATCTAGTTGGATTAGATCAAATTAATTGAATGTATTTTTTTCCATGGAAGGTGGCCGGGAATTTCCACCCATTCTTGGAAATCATTAAATCCAGATTAGTGATTATCTGTACAGAAGGTCTATACTGCATGGCTTCCTGTTCGACAAGGTCAGAGACTCGTTTGCTTATTCAGCCTGTTGTTTTCAAGTCATTCAGTAAGCACCACTGAGTGTTTCTGACATTGAGCAGGTCAGAAGTACAACCCGAGTCCTATGCACACAGGTCTCCACAGCCAAGACCCCAGGACAGGTGTGAACCGGTTCGAAAAGGCTGAGAGTCATGCATAGTCATGTTAATTTTCTGTTTGCAATTTAAATTACATTGTGATCACACATTCTACTTAGCAATGTTGTCATCATGCTTTTTAATGCTGCATTATCAACTATTTCCCTTTTTAGGCTAATAGGGGAAAATGTTCTTAATTCATATAATAAAGCATCATCAAATTGATTAATTATTTATATTTATCCCGGGTCTCTCTTGAGCTCCAGGTAGGAAGATTTTAATGCATATACCTGTAACGAGGGTGCACCTAAAGATGATTTTTCTTTATGTCACTAACAGTGTTCACGAGCGTGCACAGAAACAGCGGATTTTCTAGCTTTGTGGTATTTTCGCTCCAAGCTTCTTCCATCTAATGGCCAAGACAGTCTTTCCTCTTTATTAATAATATGAGGTAGGCAGTAACACAACCGAGTTCTCCGTCTATCACTGAAGACACGATATGAAGATAAAGCTTTGCTTGTTTCCTGAGGGCAGGTAATGTATGCTTGAATTTCATATCATAAAATAATTCCACACACAACTCCTTTGCTCTGCTGGTTGCTTTAAATTTATAAACTATGATTATCACAGAGCCCAGCGAGGCAGTTCGTGTATCCATCTGTCACATTTCCCAGGTGCCTGGTCACCCTTATCTGTTCACACATCGGAGGGAAGCAGAGAAACAACCAGCCACATCAGCACGTTTGAACGACACAGGCTGCTGGATGTCACCGTGCTGGCCAAAGCCTCTCCTTTCCAGTTGTGCACTTCTGAGACTTTTTGTTGTGACAAGGTGTTCAACTTCCTTCCGTGGGACCTTCAGCGTGGTGGAACTGGGGGGCAGCGTGGGTTGGAGGCTTCCACGGGTTTTCCTGTTGACAGCAAGGATCCTAGTGCTTTAACAGACACTGTCCCCCAGCCTGCTGTGTGCATGGTGTTCTGGGCTAGAGCCCTCTGTTTCAGTATTTGGGGTATAGTCCCCTAACTGGGAGAGCTTCTGAACCCAGTTTTATCAATGACTGCACTTTAAAATTTCCAGGATTCTGGAGATCAGAATATTTTACATCTCCTCTGCATCGCCCTGTCCATTATTTTTTACCATTGTCCTATGCCATCTGTGTATGCGATTATTATTATTATCATTATCATTATTATTTAACATTGTCATGCGATCTCTGTGTATGTGATTATTATTATTATTATTTACCATTGTCCTATGCGATCTCTGTGTATGTGGTTATTATTATTATTTTACCATTGTCCTATGTGATCTCTGTGTATGTGATTATTATTATTATTATTATTTTTACCATCGTCCTATGTGATCTCTCTGTATGCGATTATGTGTTTGTTTTTTTACCATTGTCCTATGCGATCTCTGTGTATGTGATTATTATTATTATTATTATTGTTATTATTATTTTTACCATTGTCCTATGTGTTCTCTGAGACCATGTATTTGGTTTAGGGAAATGTGAATTTCTTAGTTGCACTGAAATGAAAACTTTCATTGCCCTAGCTTTTATAGAGCAATTTAAAATTGATAAAAATGTTTTCGTCATCTTTAAACCACCCATCCTCTAATTTGTAATTCTCTTGATGTCAATCACTAGTTTCACAAGTGTGCACTGGTGCACGTGCTCTTTTTTGTTACTAAAAATTAGTGATATAGGGCACTCTTTTTCCTAGGAAGGAGGGCCAAGGAACGACATCATCTTCTGTGTAAACTCTTTCATTTAGGTGTGTGTGTGTTCAGGTGTATTCACGGGGATGGTATGAGGTACTTCATCCACATAAAAGTGACAGCTCATGAAACATCTGTGTTAAGCAGGACATCTTCTAGACAAACCAAACTGTAAAAAGTAAATGTGATTGTTTATTAACTGTGCATGACTCTTATAACATAGAGAAAAACAGACTTTCCAAAATGGAGTCAATGTGAACATGCTCTCAGGCAACTTAACCCTGCTTTTAAAGTGGTGAAAGCCACCGCCTTAGGTAGAAAATTTCTTTCTCTGTTTTTTTTCTTTTTAAAATTTTAAAGGTGAATGTTTATTAGGATTCAGATGCTGACTTATACATTGGAGAAACAATGATTCAAAAAAATAACTATTATTCAGGAGGTGGTGGTGCACACCTATAATCCCAGTGCTTGGGAGGCAGAGGCAGATGGATCTCTGTGAGTTCAAGGCCAGCCTGGTCTATAGAGTGAGTTCCAGGACAGTGAGAGGTGTTATACAGAGAAATCCTATCTTGAAAAACATAAGACAATTTCTACCCATATTTGGGCCTGAGATGTAACATGTCCTCTGACTCATAAGCCACAAGGTTCATACTTATTTATGTATTTCCTCTCCTTTCCCCATATCTTTCTTCTGAATGCCTTTAGTCTGCTTTGTCAACAATTAAACATTTCTATATGTTTGGTCAAAGGCCAAAGGTTAATGCCAAGTCAACTGAGTCACTTCTTTGATGACTAATGATGGGATTCTACCCAGCATGCCTCTGGCCTGCTACGCTCACATTTTGCCAAGATAAATCACTGGGAAGTCCAGTTCGTGTTTGGAAGACAAATTGAGAAAAGTTTAATCCTTTGTGGGGTTGATTTTTTTGACAGGCCAGCAGAAAACGGCTTTATTGAATCCAGATTCATGTATTCATGCAAGACTCATGAAACAAAGTGACTTGGTTTTGGTGGCAGGTTTAGGCAGCAGCTATTGGAGGGAGCTCCTGGGAGGGTCACAAGTGAGCCTGCACATCTCTGGGGAAAATTCCTTGGAAGCCACTGAAATAGCTGTGAAGTACCAATTGTTTCTAGACACAGTTGGCTGGAGAAGGAAAAATTGGACCCTGGTTTGGGTTCATCACATGACCACAATCTCTAATAGCAACAAATGCAAATTCAACAAAACTGTGGGTTTCCAGGAAACACTCTTGCACTGTCCAGTGGCGGCCTGGAATAGAGTAATAACTGGGAATCAATTGAGCTTGCAGCAGAGAGGAAGGAGGAAGAATCAGCTTCAGACACAGAACTCACGTCAGCGGAGGAGAGGAGGGAGATCCGAGAGCTCAAAGGGATTCTGAATGAGTTCCATCTGTAGTGACAAAAAGAGACCAAAAAGGTCTCTGTGAGTTCGAGGCCAGCCTGCTCTACTGAGTGAGTTCCAGGAAAGGCCACAAAGCTACACAGAGAAACCCTGCCTCGAAAAACAAAAAACAAACAAACAAACAAACAAACAAAAAGGTCAGCTAACAGCTGAACCTAGTCATCTTCTCAAGTTCAAAGGACCTGCATTTCCCAGGAACAGTCAGGGCCTCAGCCTGTGACTCATGAAATCCTGGCATGACTAAGGTAAACCCCAGAATGACAATTTATTGACGAGGGAAAATACAAGTACTGTGTAGGCTGGGAGTACACACTGAGAGCGTGACTAACACAGCCCCCCCCTGTACACAAACATTCATGAGATGCTTCATCATGATTAGAAAGCCTGGACCGAGTGCACAGAGCTGTGGGCAAAGTCCTTATCATCAGTCTGCTCTTTCCCCAGTGTTAAACAAATTGAAATCAGAGACGCATGGTGATCCTGGACTCTGACACACAGGGCTTTAAATGAGTGAGTGAACATGCAATGGTACTTGTCTAGGGATGTGTGAAACATCTGCCTTCGGAGGGGAATGTGTGTGCCAGACGGGCCAGGACAGTCACAGTCTGATGCTGGCACCTTCCAAGACCCAGCTCTGTAATGCGCAGCAGCTTTGGTTCTGAAAAGTGTAAAAGACTCCCTTCTCCCAGCTGTTTTACTCAGATGTTTTGGGATTGTTCAGACCCTGTCTTTAAATCCACTTCTGTTTGATGATGACTACTTCTGGGCAAAGCTTTACCCTGGAGCTGTGACCCTCCTTTTACTTCCCAGGACCTGTTCATCTCTTTCTTCACTCAAGTAAGCTGGGGAATTAGCTTGTGAGCTGAGGAAGAGGAGTTCCCACATGCACAGCTCACATCTGTAGCCACATAGCTCTCAGGATTGCCCTTTGCACTAACGGGAGAGAGATGCTCAGAGCATCCGTGTTTCATTGGTCCTTCTATATTCGTTGCTTCCTGATCCAGATAGACTATTGTTGGGGAGAGACTCTGCAGGTGAATAAGGGTGCTGCTATAGGCACAGAGTAGACGTAGAAAACTTTTAACATTTCATTTTAAAATGGAATCATCCCCTCTGAGGATCAGACTAGAGTGATATCCAAGATCTCTAAGAAATTCTTAGCTCGGTGCTGGTGTACAGAAACATGAGGCATTTAAGTTTATATTCCCCACTGGAAAATTATCCCAGTTAATGCTAGAGGTTCTTGTGTAGATGGAAAGTGTGGGATTGTGGCTTTACTGAGCACTTACTACGTGTTAAGCATGTTTGCATATGTTTACTAATATTCTGAAAGCTGTCAGATATCCAGACATTTAGTCACAATAAATAACTTCCTAGGTCTACCAAGGTTACACAGAAACCATGGGTTAAGTTATGCATGTTAAACACACAAAGTATTTCTCTCTCATAGGGGAAGAATTACCTTTAAGTAAGAAATGGATTATTATACTTGAACTAAAAATAGTCAATAAAACAAAGGAATGGGGGCCGGGCGGTGGTGGTGCACGCCTTTAATCCCAGCACTCGGGAGGCAGAGGCAGGTGGATCTCTGTGAGTTCG